GGTACACAATTTTAGTTTTGACCGATCATATTTTACGCTTAGCCTGTTTTCTATAAGAGCTCACACGTAGGTTTTTACAAAATCTAGAAAACTGAAGTAACTTGTATGGACTTTACAAAATTAAGTAAATTCTATCAAGACTTTAAAACTTAGATATCATAATAGTTTTGACAAAAAAAACATGATGTTATACAATATACAATATTTATTACTTTATTTAGAGGTTTTCGTCAAATTGGAATTCTGCCTACGTCTACCTGCCTACCTTAGAATTTACGCTTTTCAGTAGTTTCTGTAACATGATAACATACCATTTTTATTACACGTCACTGTCATGCACAATAAACCTCAAAATTCCCTATAAAAATAAACTAACGGTTAACCATTTGACCCCGCTCTTTATAATACTTGGCATGTGATAGTAGACGCGTAACAATGTTGTCAATGTCAATGGTGATTCATAAAAGTGTGTTAGAGAAACAATTTTGATAGTTGTACATTAAATCACAACTCTATTACAGAAAACAGAAACATTTAAAAAGCGATAGAGGTAGGAGACTTCACAACATTTACTTTGCAGATTAAAACTACAACAAGGCTAAATATTACCTATACCCATAAATTCTTATTTGAACGGAACCGAAATATTTTTTCCTTAACAACTATGCCAGCTGCCAGGGCCGTATCTAATAAAAATTACAATTTGTAATTACGATTTACATTTTATATTTCACCTTATGTTCAATAAAAATCAAAAATTACAATATTGTCATGGTGGAAAATTTCCAAAATTGTTACTTTTCTTTTTTAAAGGATATCTGTAAGCAGTTTGGTTTATCCTTTTTTCAATCTAATTAATATCAAATATTATACATTCTTTTGACATAAATAATAATTATTACATTTTCCTAACAAATTAAATTCCCCCGCCGTGAAATCTGTTAAATATTTCACCCTGATAGAAAAAAGTTGTCATTGTCTGACAGATGAGTTGGCGTATTCGTATCGTATTTCTAAACTAAAATCGTCATTGAAAGTGACCGGTATTTTTTTACAAATTAAAAATTTTACTACTTAACAATGTAACCTTTTATAATTTTTGTTACTTTAGCGATATTTACTTATGTAGAATTCGACAAATGTTACTTTTTTCAAATTAATGAAATTGTAACCTTTATTATCTAATATACAACCCAGTAGTCACTAGTCGACAGACTTCGGTGTGACTACTATAGATTTAGTATAAACTGAGTGGATAATATTATATAATAAATCTATGGCGACAACAGTCGATAATGTGAAAAAAGTACACGAATTATCATTTATTTTTACTTGTAAATCAATCAGACATAGTTTAGTGATTTCATTGTTTCGATCTTCTTAAACTATTCGAAATTAATATATGTTTACTGTTAAAACTTAACCGGTCAAAACCAATATTGACTGAAAAATCAGTCAAAAGTAGTTTTGACTAAGGACGTTGGTCAAAACCACTTTTGACTAATACTTTTGAATTTTTAAATTAAAAAAATATTTTAATAGTATACTTTAAATCATTATAATGTACGCGGCTTTAGGGTGGCCCAAAGGCCACCTCAGCGGCACCTTAACCTTATATCACTGATAATATGATTAAAACATTAGTCAAACTGTTTTTGACAAAGGGCCTCAGTCAAAACCATTTTTGACTGATTTTCGCAGTCAAAAGTGGTTTTGACCGGTTAAGAGTTTTGACTGTGACATATATATATATATGTCTATATATATATACATATATATATATATATATATATATATATTAATAAACGTCAGCCACGTTAAAACAATTTCAAGTTATTTACTACTAGAAGTACAAGCTGTGCAATCGCATTCAAAGACGTTAACCATCTGACGCCAACTCTGTTTTTTTTTGTTAATTTGATTTATACCTACTCGCTTTATTACGTCTAATAATCTGAGCGCTTCTATCCTCAAGAATAACTTAATAATAAACCTAATAACCTCAGAATTTTTTAGACATAGGTCCTTGTTTTTTTTTTTGGGAAAAGGTAAGTTTCCCAATCATCCATAAAAATTCGGTTTATTTATTTTTTATTAAAATATAATACTAAAATTAAATATTTACATGCCGTATTTATAAAAATTAAAAAGGTTATTATTCCACAAATAATAATTATACTCAACATAATACAACAACCTTAATTACAAATGTTTTTTTTAATTCACATATTATTAATAATATAACTAAGATAAATGTGTTACTAACCACAAAATAAATTAAAGCTTTTCAATAAATAGTGCGAAATAACGAAACGGCGCCTTTTTACAAAGGAAATGAGAATTGATATAATTATAAATCAAATCGTCCACTGCCAGCACCGCAAAAATATCACATCGATCAAACGAGCTAGTTAGATTTAATCTAATCAAGCTTTCAATAATTTAAACTTGAAGCCGCAGTATCCTCTTCTAGAATAACAATTATTTTTTAAAGGTTTTCCTTGAGCAAGTTAGTCAATCAATTTGTTAATTACCAAATAGCAAAGTATTTTGAATTTTAAACGTTTCACTTGCAAGAATTAGTACATGCAAAGCTTAAATGCGGTTTTGAACTTTTGAAGTATGTATTACTGTGCAGGACGTCATGTGGTGTGGACGAAATTCGACTACAACTCGGATTGTTTCAATTTTTCATTCATAATCATGTTCAGTCATGCTTACGCTACACGTATCACTTACGTTCGCGTACAGTTGCGAATAATGTTATTATTGCATTATATTTTTGTTGTAATTTATTTTGTAGCATTGTTTATTTAGTTGTATATTTATTATTAGTATTTAAGTGAATTTCAGCAACCCATAAGTTTTTGTTTATTTACTATACACTATATATAGCTGTAAACTTTTATTAGTAGCCAAACAAAAAAAAATTACGGTTATATAATTTTTTTTGAAAATATTTTGTTTTATGGCACACCAACGGTGACAGCTGACGGTGCACGTGTAACACGGCGCATTTAAGTTTTGCGCGTACAATGAGGATATTTAGAAATTAATCCACATTTTAAATTTCAAGTTATCAAATTTCTAATTAAGTTTTTCCCATCATAATTATTGTAAATATTTTTATTAATTTTGATTGACTTTGTATAATAATAGGGTGAACCAAATTTTCATTTTGTTGTAAATATACGTATGACATATTAACGAATTACTTATATCAATTATAAACGAATTACAGCCTTATAAATAGTAATTTCCGTTGGAAATTTTATATAATATTATGTATTGGTCTTATTGATATACAAGTCATCGAAAATATCCGTGCAAATGTGAGAAAACTGAAAGGATTTTTACGTTAAGGCCAGCTCACATTATCTTGATATAATATATAATATATCTTGATATATTTTATGTTGTAGAGTGCGTAATTGAAGTACATTATTAGAAACGTCGTATTCCATTCGCCTGTCTACTTAAATCTAATTGAATCATTTTACATTTTCGGTCAAGCTCAAAAAATAAACTGAATTCGAATATATATTTTTTGTAAGTTACGCGATATCTTCACAAATTGTGAAATAGGCTATAATTACCCTAAAAATGTAGAATAAATTACGCCCTATGGGCGGAGCGGGTTATGAAATTTTCAATAAAAATCAAAGACTAAAAACAAGTAAGGTTAATACTTTTTTATTGAAAAACCCGGCTGCGTAAAAATACTTATAATTACCGTTATACCATTATATAAGAACTTTATCACAGCTTTGTAAGTTTCGAAAATTTAAGCGAGAATGGAAATGGAAATGGAATTCAAAATGAGAAATGACTACAGCAACCTAAATATGATTCTCAAATACCTAATCAATGATACCGCACTCGACACAGTTCGTCGATATATATTTTTTTCTTTTAAGCAACATAGCGTCTGGTCTGGTATTGAAGTTAAGAATTACTGTCATATCTATAGTGACATTCGCAATATTAAGACAAATCGATTTACGTAAGAATCATCAAAACATCAAAATCGGCCTAAGGGTTTGGTCTAGAGCGCCACAAAGGAACAAACAAACATAGGTTGATGAACACATTCCCTCCGCAGTTGGGTTAGAATAAAGTACTTTTCAGATAGCATTTGCATTCGAGGTAAGCGCCGACTTAAAAACTATTAAAAGGAAAATTATTTTATTCTTTTTAGTTCTTTGAAGTCGGTTTATTTACAAATAAATTGTTTGTTTATTTATTTCGTCGTGATAGCTAGTATATTGCTTGTTATCGTTGTCAGACTGGTGACAAAATCACATTGTACTGGAAGTAGTGATCGTTTACAAGAAAGACAAAAAAATCCCCAACTTCTTCTAATTCATTAGGATATAATAAAACCTAAAGTGCGGTCTTGTGAATGCAACAGTACCAACACAACAGATATTTTCTCGTGTATATATGCAGTTAAGAAGTATTACTACGATTGTAGGTAAAATGTATTTCAATTGAACATAGTAGCTTAGGGAATAATAACTACATACAGTTATAGTATAACGTTACGACAACAACACCAATGATTATGAAAACAATTATGTTGATGCTTAAGCTAAAATAGATAAAAGCGACTCTTAGTTACGTGTTAATGAATATAAATAGAACCAAAATGACCAAACTTCTCTGCATGTGATCAAATATGTAAATATCATTTAATTAGGTGATACCAAAAATGACTACCGACGTCATTTAATACCGAAAATATTGTAATAAGATGTCGAAATATTTAATTCAACAAAAATCGAAATTATTAATCGTAATTTTTCCTTTAATATCCTATTTTATTCATGTGTTAATAATACAACAATACAGACTTCAAAAGTTGATCAGTTACAACAGTTTGCCAGCACTTTAGTTCAAGGTGTGAGACCAAAAATCAACCTTATTACTTGTTTATAAAAACTAAAATTGTACTGTAGTCTCACTTACAACGCCGTACCGCTTATTACAAGAAAATTGCTTTAAGGTAGAGGCCAAGGCAGACTAGAGAAAGTAACTGGTCCTCCTAGCCCGGAATCGACATCTAAAAGGCTCATTATAACGGACATTGCAGCCTCTCCGTTTCCATCAAGGCCTACCGAGGGGAGAGGCGGGGAGGCAGGGGGAGGTGTTGTAGGAAGAAGACAATCGTGGGGACCGGTTGGCGGTGGAGAGTTCTCCACACCTGCGACGCTGAGTGGCACGTTGTTGCGGATTTCAGTATAGTTGCCCATGTCCACGGTAAGGATGTTATCGACGAGCGGTGCCTGCTACGAAAATATTGAAATATATTATTTGCTGTATCAAATTAGACAAATAAATAGTCATAATTGTGTTTGTTTCACAATACACAAGCAATCGGTGTTACATACTCACTGAACTTACTGTTATTTACTACCGATTTAACAATCAGTCGAGGAAACCTGCATGTCTTAGAATTAAAATTGGTTTAGTTGCGCCAACTGACGTCTCTTCAGTAAAATGTGGCCGCGCAAGCGAAATTTATACGAGTATTCCAATAATTTCTAGATCGTGAGAAGTTTACTAACAAAAAGTGAAAAAAAAAGAAAAGCTTTTAACACTCATCGGAGTAACTTTCTTCAAACATTTGGTAGGCTATGTTTACCTTTTCGCTACTCCCCATTCGAGCCTAAAATTTAAAATTGACGCTATAGAAAGTGTGATGTTTTGGTTTGGACAGGTCAATATATCATCAAATATAAAATCAAATACAATAAGTATATTAGTATGAGGTAGTCAGTGATTGTTGGAAGCTTCTTGATGTACGATTATAAAATGAATCTAAATAAATAAGTATCAAAACTTGAAGATTCGTACCGATTCTTATACATTGTCGGCGAATTAACTGTTTTAATATGCCCATTGTCCAAGATAAAAAAAATCAAATCGTATCATAAACGGATACATTGCAACGCACCCTCATACTATATACTATACTACTGCCGCAAACTTATTAACAAGGCTACATAAGTAGTCGCGTTGCAATGTCATTTTTATATCGCTTACCTAGGACAACGAAACCAAATGCATACAATTCGTTCATTCAAGAAAATGAAAAATCGCATCAATATTCGTGTTTTATGAATAGGTGACGTTTACGTTTCAAAAAACTAAGAGCCGTCAACGACCCACTACTAACGCAAAGCTGCCCGATCGAGGTATGAAATGTGATGTACACACACCTGTTGATTGTAGGCGGTGTCCTGCAACAAATCGGCCGACAGGTCGGGAGAGAAATCGCACGAGGGCCGACGAAGCGCCTCATCGGCGATGGTGCTGCCGATCTTGTGCGACTCGACCTGCGAATCGATCAGCCGCTGCATGTCCGTGTCAGCCTCTGAAAGCGCACCAGCTACGTCACACGCGTACGCACACGTGCTTGCGCCGTCTGCGAACAAACGTTGCACGTTCGCCCTGCGATCGATGCCCGCTCCACGGTTTTGTTAGTGTTAATTGATTGGAATGTCAAATTGGTTGGTGGAATTGGCTAGTAGTTAGTTTTTCTTGGGTGGATAGAGTATAAATAACTTTTTGCTGCATGTGATTATTCTGTGGGAAGATTGTTACGAGATTGTTAAGGTAGCCACACACGCTAGGTTATGCTTGTCAGTATTGCCTGTGCAAGCAAAACCGACAGGCTCGACCAAGTTTCATACGGCACATACACGTAACGACAAACCTGCACAAGCTCTCAGTCACCATCACGGCACCGGCAACGGTGGTTGACGTCGACGCAATAGCTTTATTTAGCGCAATAGGGTTATTATTCGTAATTTTGAAGAAAAAAAAAACTAAACAACGAAGCCGTACAGAGTTGTGTAAAAAGTGCTTACAGAAGAGGAGAATATACAGCCATGTCAACTTAGTAAAGGAATTAACATATTATCCGAAAGATTACCGTAATTATTTACGAATGGACGAAAAAACTTATCTTACGCTGTTATCAAAGGTGACTCCATTAATTAAAAAGCCAGAACACCATTATGAGAACCGCTATATTACCACAAGAGAGGTTAACTGTTACATTGAGATTCCTTGCCACAGGACGGCCATATGAATGCTTAAAATATTCGGCCTTGATATCGCCGCAAGCTCTAAGCAAAATTATTCCTGACACTTGCGATGCAATTTATAAAGTTTTACAAAAGTATTATCCTTCAATCGCCATGTACAAGGTTCCGATTTATATATTCCAATAAATTCTTCTAAAATTGCATTTCGTTTGTGAGATGACATTATTGCGCAGTGACGTACGACGCGCCAACGATGACCTATCCCCTCGGCACTTGCTGTGTATGACTGAAGCCCGCCTGCCACACACGTTCAGTTATGCGGGCGCAAGCATAACCGAGCGGTAAAAATATCAGGCTGCAGTACACTACCCGCGAAGTTCCTCGCCCGAAGTATTCGCCAAGGTCAGCCGAGGTACTAGTCGCTCACATGCTAGGCGAGATGGAGGACGTACAAGTGGCAGCTGCGTATGATTTGTGCACTGTTGCGTATTTTAACTATGTGCGTATATTTGGATGCAAAAAAAAAAATGAAAAAAAGGTCCCATATTACCGTTTCCCCCTGGAGGATAGAGAGCTGCAGTTATATTAGTAGTATAGTTGTAGCACGAATGGGTCGGCTTGACCGGGGAGGACCACGCTCTCACAGAATACCAGCGCAAAATAGTAGCGTAATGCTGCTGTGTTTTGTGTGGTAAGTGCAGGTAACCGGAGACCCTTTTTACTGGAAAAGAGGCATTCCATCTTATTCCTCTTGGGTGACAACGCATCTGCATTTCGATTCGTAATCGAGGATAGATGTAGATGTCTATGGGCCACAGCAAACGCTTACCATCAGGCCACCAGGTGGACAGTGTGCTCGGTTGTCACCCTGTCCTATAAAAAAAGAACAACTCCATAAACAATAGTATTTTCTCTTGTGACCAATTCATTTTTAACTTAAGCAATTTGGATCGAACTAAAACGTTTTTAAATTTAACAGCACAACATTAACTGTATAGAAGTAAGCCGAGTAATGTACAGGGTCACTTCGCGCTCGAAACTTCGTTCCTTTGACTCGGGCGGAAAAAACCGACAACGATCGGAAGTCACCGGAAGCGAGGCGAAGTTGCCCGAAGTGAAGCGAAGTCTTTGCACAACTTCGTTCAACTTCGCGAGTAGTGTACTGCAGGCATAAAATTTCTATATTTTTAATTTTGCTTGCGCAAGCAAGAAATTATGTCATACATACGTTCAGTTATGCTTGCACAGTTGAACTGTGCAAGCATAACTATCGGTTATAACCTAGCGTGCGTGGCTACCTTTAAGTATTAAATTAATTGAACATTATATTATTTTTAAGTGACTTCACAAAAGAAGGACGTTCTTAATTCTGATGTTTTTATTTTTTTATGTATGTTGTGACATAATTACGTCATATACATTTTTCGCAAAATTCTTGTTTTTGCTCGAAAGTGGTTAATTCCGAAATGGTCTCATTAAAATTTCATAAAGATCTGATGATGAGTTTCGGAGGTAGACAACGGAACTCTTCGATAAATGCCAGCAAATCAATCACGATTGCCGCTATCGCATATCTATGCATTGTTTACGCAATTACACAACATAACATCACGCCTGTACCCTCTAAAAAGGTACGCAGATGTGTTAAGTATATCACGGTACACCCTCATTTCTGTCAAAGTTATCATATTGGAGTCGGATGCAAAAAATGTTTAATTTTACCACTTGTTGCTCTTTTATATTAGATGTAATTCGCTATCGTCGAATGTCGTCGAATAGAGCCCACCAAAGGAGATGGTCCATTTCAGGCCAAGTCTATGTACACTATATTAAAAAAGAAATACTCTTTGCCCCTCATAAGCACGGTTATGCAATATTTTGCTTAAATAATGTGGGTAGCGTGATATTTTTATTTATTCCGAGCTTGATCGTGTAGTTGCGAACTCGTGAATGCATTTATTGTGTTTCCGGTGGATTTCTTTGGCGATTTGGTTTTGGTTTAGTGATAAGGATAACACAGCATTTCAGAATTCAAATAGCCATCAATAAATGGATCAATAACCTCGTAACAGTTGACAGCTAACGTCAAAACGATATCTATCCGTATTACATTTTTTGGTGTTTTGTGGTTTAGTTTAATCTAATTCTCTATTCCCTGCTCAGGCTACTCCCCTCCTATAACTAGATGTTTGTTCTACATTGTGTTGTCCATAACTCGTGTATTTAGTTGTTTTGTTTCTAGCCACTTTGTCGCCTAATGACCGCCAACTCCTTTCCCACCGAGAACCCTCAAGACAAGGTATGACAGAGCATAGACATTGGCAGAATTATTGTGACACAACCACAATACATGTGCCATATCGTTAAAAAATATTAATACCACTGAAATAAAGGTAGACACGTGGTTTTGGATGATCAAGTGGTTTAATATTATATTTTAATTTATTTCCCTACTAATACAAAATCCATGCAATTTTGGACCGTCTCCTTTAGTAGATTTGGGTGATTTTAAGAATTTTTGCTACAACAAGCTAATCTGTGGACAAGTTTGCTTAAAATAATGAAATGATTACCAGTAATTTTTTTAAAATTTTAGTAATATATAATATATTTAAAATATTATGTAATATTATAATGAAGTAAAAATAAAACAACCGGTGAGTAACATAAGTGATATAATAAAAAAATATTATCCAACAAAATACAAAAAACAGCAAAAAGTAAACGTTGAGAAAATAAAATACAACCGAAAAACAACATAAAGTAATATGACAAAATTGTATCACTATAAATTACCTCTGCTTTCTAATTAACAATTAACAACTATAACAATAAATCTGACTTGCCATCAACGCCATTTTGTGATATGTCAGTATGTACATTAAATTGGTATATTCCTTATAATTAACTTAACTTTTCAAAGTTAAACAGCTAATTAGAGTGACAGGCTGTTGTCTTCAGACTGTAAATTGTAAATATAACGACTATATCAGATGACTTGGTGCTAGGGCCTTTCTACATAGCGCAACGCTACTTACTTTAATATTAAACAGTGAATAGTTGGTTTGCCCTGAAATCATTAAGCTGTGAGCAGAATAACACTTTGTTGAATGAGATTAGTCAATAACCATTTTATTTTGCTCGAATTGCGCGATTTTCTTATAAATTAAAAAAAATACGTTATCGTTACAATAAGAGGTAAAGAAACCTGTTATTGAAACGATAAGGTAATTTCATCGTAACGATAAGGTAACATTTCCCGGTAGGGAGAAAAACCGGCAATAGAAGCACCACAGGTTATATAGAACTATTGTAAAGCCGTTTGTCGCCTATTGATACTCTGTTAATCTCTCCTTAAAAATAAAATCTTAGTTATTTTAATACTTCAAGTGGAAAATGTATGATAATTGATAAACACCAAACACAGGTTAATATAATACAATTTATAAATGATAGATTAACAATAAATTTACAAGAGCACCTTATTAGGAAATCAATGGTTCAATGGCATTAATAACATTGATGATGTGATGATTTTCGTACGGGTTGTTTAGTTAGTTACACACGTAAACTGTAATCAAGGCGTCACTGTTCACAATAACTGGCTACGGGACATGTAGCCGAATAACTGATTTTGTAACTAGTCATATTGCAATGAAAAGAGAAAAACGAAACAAAAGTAATGTTGCAAGTGCATTGCGGATGTTTTTCCTTCCGCATTCGAACGTTTAAGAGGATACCTTGAAAATAAATCGTAGTTTTGGGGGCTTATCCCTTTGTCGGTGAAGCTTACGGACTACTGAGGGAGTGTCAAAATGAAAGTGATGCAATGACTTCCTAGTACGCAAACTATTAGATAGCTATGGCAAGCACACTCTCTAAAAAAAACTAAGTAGGCGCCAAACAACATTTAAAAAAAACTTTGTAATGGATTAAAAAATTGGTTTCTGAGAACTTAGATATGATTATTTACTATCCTTAAAATAATTCTACGAATTTATTCGTAAAAATATTGTGGTGTCATGGAGAAATGTAACTAACGTTATTACATGTTACCATATTTTCCTTTTATGAAATCCAAGGTAATATGGTTAAAAACCATATACCAAAAATTTGGTTTGTAATCTATAAAACTTAAAAAAATATATATAAAATAGAAAACCACTAAATTTTCGTGATATCACCTTAATAAGTGTAAAAAGACGAAAAAAAATTAAATAAAACAACAACAATATAACAGTAATAAAAAATAAAAAAATACAATATTAATATATAAAAGTCCACTTTGTTGACTGCAAATGTTTTAAATCATTGCATAATATAATGAACTTAATACGCATGAATTACTATTCATTATAATTATTTGATGCGTGTTTTAATTTTATAGTTAAATCAGTCCTGAGTTAGTATTAAGTTTCTGATGTAAATGCAAACGTAAGTAAATCTTGTGACGAGTAACGTAGTCACTCAATATTTTCGTTTCATAAGAAACTGAAACTGGTGAAAATAGCTTGCAGCAGTTTAAAGAAAATACTATTTCGTTTTACCCTTCAACCCCTAAGCGGTTGAATTCGACCACGGCGCTATTCCGTCAAAATTCAAGCGGTCGGATTCGACCGCGCACACCCACAGCACTTTAAACCTAATATTTAGAGACTACTTTTGTAAAAAAAGTAGTCCCCAAATATAAGTTTTAATGGTTTTAAGTGCTGCGGGTGGTTGGCTAGCGTCGCATGCGACCGCTTGGGGTTTGCCGGGTGCATGCGACTGCACGAGAATTTTAAGGGGATTGAGGGGTTAAACCAGTGATGCCTTCGCAAAAATTACGAAATAACACATGTCTAGTGATTTCTGAATGCACAATATCTTAAATAGGAAGGTAAAGTGTTAGGTTTTATAGCGAACTGCACAATGAGTATGCTACGTGCGTGCGTGAGTGCGTGCGTAGATGCGTGCGTGTTTGTGAAAAAGAGGGTTAAAACCGTGAAAAGCTGGTTGGGTTAGGTTTGATTATCACATCTGATTTCGTGAGTTTAGCATTAACTCACTTTGCTGCTTGAACATATCGTAGGTGGCGTGGGTCTCATGCTGTGGAGGCGCATACGACTCCGTCACCACAGTGTTGTTCGCTACAAGACATTCGACATCTTTCGTCCATGGATTCCTGAAATTGATATAGGTATTTTATCAGCATTGGTATAAAACACAATACGAAAGAAAGTAACGAAATCCGGCATATTAATTAATTATAACAAAAACTAAACCTTTTACAAACGTTGTATTGGAAATATTAAAAAAAACCTTAAAAAGTAAAAGTCAACTTTTATGAACAGCATAATAATGTCCACGTAACATTTTTTATAGGTCAAGGGTGACCAACGAACACAAAGTCCACCTGATGGTAAGTGGTTACTGTGGCCCATATATCTATCCTCGATTACGATTCAAAATTCAAAAGCTTTGTCACCCGTGAGCTCTAAGATGAAGCTTTCCAATAAAATGGGTCTCCGAGTCTCTACTCACTTACCATACGAAACACAGTAAAAAACCGTTGAGCTGCTATTTCAAGCTGGTATTCTGTGAGAGCTTGGTCCTTCGCCGGTCGAGTCGACTCATTCATGCTACAACTATATTTTTACAAGTATGTGTATTAACAATGCTATAAAAATTACTAATATTCCCCTTAACCACTCGTAGTATAGAAATAAATTACAAAACAAAATTTGCACGTTAGCAACAATTGTAGTGTCTTTCAAAGATTAGTTAATAATGTGAGCAAACAACTTTCTTTCAGAGGTCACAATAAAATTGAAAACTCTTTGAATAAAGAAAATATTTTTGGGTTATTTTGTGTAACCGTGTATGGCGGTGTCAGAATATCAACCGGCGGTGTCAAAAGATTAGCGCATCATCTAGTACTGAGCAAATTGCCGGCATATGTTTATGTTTTGACTATTTTGGTGAGGAAAAAAGTTATTTCGTTGTTAGTTATTTTTAGTGAAAATTGATAAATAAATAATAAAGAGTGGCAGGTGATCTACTATTTCGACTTATTTTAGAGAAACTGACGACCGAAGTAAAGTGAAATGTACACTTATGTATGCAATGTTTCTTTGTTTGATTCCAAAAATATTTGATCAGGCTTTTTATTTGCTATAATTGAAAATAAATCTACAGTGTCTCAAAAACATAACATTTCAAGTAGATTTAGCCCATAAATAAAATATACTTCCAACAGTAAAATTATGAAAGGCATGGCATTACTCAATTCGTACATTTCAATACAGTGGACACTGAGTACTATTTAAACGAATGTACGGTGTTTTAGCCGAATATTCGCCGAATATTCGGCCGAATACGAATATTCAGTAAAACTGCCGAATATCGAATATGTATGTTGTTACCCACTGCGATCATACTCTTATATCCGTACGCCTTCTAAGCGCGACAAAAATGCAAATTCTCCCTACTACCAATAAGTTCACATCCCCAACAGTTTGTTTATACGGGATAATCATAAAATCTATTTCCAAACATACCTGAACGGCTTGAAGTGTGTGGTGATCCGCGCTAAGGTGCCATCTTTTCTTCTGAAACTGTATGGGGGTGTGTGCATGGAGTCTTGTCGCAGGAGGGCCGCCTTATGAGTGCGCGCGACTTCACTCAGTTCGGGCGCACTCACGTACTCGTACAGACTTGTGCCTAGTAGCTCTTGTGGTAAAAAGCCGAGAGCTAGTGTCACCCTGAAATTTTAAAACAATATAGCTTGTAAGTTTCGGATGATGATCATCCCGATATTCGAACTTGACCGATAACTTTTAAACAAAGGAGACTACAGAGTTACTCCTTCGTCTTAAACTAGCCGTTTTCTGACTCTCTATAGACTCTGCCATAGCATCAGAAATGTAGTGATGGTGCGGTGGCAGTGTAGAATATTCTAACCTTACATCGAATAGGGCCATCGAAGGAGTACTTTTTTAATAACAAACATGTATTGTCAAATATCGTAACTAAACTCGTGCTTAGAATGTGCTTATAATAAAAAATTAACGTGTGGCACTCAGGGACTGCCGCGGTAAAGCTATTGCAAAGCATTTTTTATCAACTTATGCAATTATAATTATTTATTTTCACTTTTTGAGCGTGGTGATAGATAAATAATTTTTTTTTCTTTTATTGAATAAATGAGAAGTTAATGTTGTTTAAAATATTTTTATTATCTTACAATAGATGTAGGTTATTCAGGAATTTTTATCATTGAAACTATAGCTACACGCATACGTCTAGTCGCACGCACACAAACACCGTGCCGAAGTCTGGCGAACTGAAACGACGTTAGACGATGCACGGCTGTCAACGCCGCACCGCTGTGCCGCTCGGAGTGGGGGGTGTTAGGTTTATTTTCGTTACGGACTTTCTTGATTCGGTCGCTGCGCTCAAAGCCCGCGATAAAAGCTATGCAATAGCTTAAAAACTAGTAAACCAATGAATGCTCTATCATAAGTTATAATTCTCAAAGAGAACAATCGTTTTTGGGCCCACTAGTAAATTTAACGTAACTTAATAGACTTAACTAGAATACACATAAATAAAATATACCAATTTATTATAGTAAACGGCAAAAGATTTCATGAAAATCTAACCGTAATCATTTAATCTGACAAAAAAAGAATTGTTTTGATATTTGTATTCTGGCTGATCTAATATGAAAAAAACATGTGTGTAGCGAAACATTTTGCAGTTTGTATAGTAAAAAGAGAAATATTTGTGAAAACGATAAATTATTATATATGTATAAATTACTAAAAAGAGATACCACTAAAAACTTGTTCTTAATCTTATTTATAAAAGCTAATATTATATAATACAGTTCAAAGTGACCGTGGAACGAAACGTATTAATAGGTACCCCCATTTTGTCAGACTTCCGGGTACGGGTATTACTATACGGCATTAACGTTCGTCACGTTGCAACTGTTTTTTTTTTTTTTTATTGTTCGTGGTGGGTTTTGGAATTATTCCTTAGTCATCTTGGCTTCATATTTCTTTAACTATGTAATCTTGTTTGGAATTAAATACTCACTTATCAATCAATACGTATATAAAATAGTTTCCACATCAAGTTTGTTTATCCGTGCAATATGTTTTTCCGGAACTACTAAAACGATTTTCCATCAATCTTAAAGTATACCTTATAAATGCTGAATTACCTACAACTTTGTTTTACACTATTAATTATTGAACGGTGCACTATTTTAACTTATAACACCGGTAAAAACTACTAGACAATCGCTTTTAGTTTGTTTTTAGGTTATTGTGATATTTATATTGTAATTGTTAATTTCTCAGTATGCCTGTTAGATGCGATAAAACTAATATTACTATTGTAATCTATATACTATAAGGAATAAATCGACATGCATTTCATTAATTCTCGTCACAATTTGTGGTGGGCCCATTCTCAAACGAATATGTCTCTTTTCTTAATCACCAATTGCCCTAGTGATTTTAGGCTGTTACCGGATTCGAATACTCGCCAACCTTTACCTATCACGTTCAGTATTGGGGGCCCATCTTCAATTTTATTGCGTTAGTATATCTTAGTACGTTAAAACGAATGCTGCGAAAATATTCAAATGTTAACGTCTCGAGAAATCCGACTAGGACAATAATGATTAAAGTCTAGTCAAAAACAAAGAGGCAGAATAAAGTTACACCTTGCAGAGAAATCTACTCACCTCTGATGAACAAAAAGGAACTTGCCATCCGTGGCATGTCTGGAGATATATTGGATGCGCCTAGACGGTGGCTGCGCCGGCGTCGGCACTGGCTGAATGAGAATGGGAGTGAGATCGGTTACAGCACGTCCTACAGCTACGAGGCAGGAGAGACTACTTGCTTCTTCCTCAACTGCTTCGCCGGTGACGGCGCCTCCCTCCTTCATTTCCATCGGTGCCCAGGACTTGAGGTAGCCTGAACAGGAAGAGACTGATTTCTAACCCACCTACATATATTATCTTTCTGCATGTCTTATAATATCGTGTAATCATGATGGACTGCCGGTTCTTCGAGCTATATGCCAAGCGCATTGCCAGTTTAGCTTACTGATCAGTTAGGTTATGTCGGTTACTCTAGTTCTAGTAATTATTTAATTTACGGCCGACGAATTGCGTGGGCAACATTTAATTAAAAATATAATAATTATTTTAGCAGGATTATGGATGGTGATATTTCTTAATATTTATTATATTGGCCAAATATTCAAAAGCTACTCGATGTCGCTTAGTCTCGTGGTGTCACAGTCATCATCATCATCATTATCACATTACAGCCCTTCACAAGTCCACTGCTGAACATAGGCCTCCCCCAAGGTATGCCACAAAGCACGGTCCTGAACCACCTGCATCCATCGACGTCGTCACTCCATCTAGTAGGGGTTCGCCTTACACTTCGCCTACCAGTACGAGGCTGCCACTCGAGAACTTTTTTTCCCCATGGGTTGTCAGTTCATCGAGCTATATGGCCGGCCCATCGCCACTTCAGCTTACTAATCCGTTGCTCTATGTCGGTCACTCTGGTTCCACTGCGGATATCCTCATTTCTAAGTTTATCACATAGATAAACCCCGAACATAGCCCTCTCCATAGCTCGCAGAGCGACTTTGAGCGTCCTCATACGGCCAACAGTGAAGGACTACGTCTCGGTTCCGTAGGTCATCACTGGCAACACGCACTGGTTGTACAACTTAGTTTTCAGGTTTTGAGGTATACCTGACGAGAAGATAACACTGACTGGGCACAGGCTTCCTGTTATTTCTGAGATGGTTTTAGGGCAAGGAAATGTCCGCCGCGCTGCGCCAATGCGTGTTGGCGAACTTTACATGTCTTCGAAATAATATTTTTTTTCTTATTCCTCCGACATGCAGGTTTCCTCAGGATGTTTTCCTTCACCGTCGAGTACGTGGTAAATCAGCACTTAAAATTGCAATTAATAATATCATTGGTGTCGGCGGGGATCAAACCCGGGTTACTCGCGTTCTATTATATTTACAGCGTATATATTTACACACTTGTACATATTTACAACTATAACCTAATCAAATATGAAAGGAGACCCAACAGGGAAATATATATTTTACTTTTTTATTTTTTCTATATATTTTTTTTTAATTCCACTCAAGTACATGATTAGTGTTTGAAATTCATTTCGTTTCGATAACAAATTTATAAAAATTATTTTGAGGCTCTGATCGAAGAGCGAGCTTTACTGCGGTTTTAGTGGCTCGCGGGTAAAGCTGGATAGTATATGGAAAACATTGCAGGATACGCAAGATGCCTACGATAGTGTTGCCACATTTTAATAAACTGGAGTAAAAACATGTATTGTAATTTTTTTTCATAGGATGGGGTGACAAACGAGCACATAGTCTACCTGATGGTAAGTGGTTGCTGCGGCCCATAGACATCTACATCTATCCTCGATTACAAATCAAAATGCAGATGCGTTGTCAGCCTTGAGGACTAAGATGGAATGCCTCATTTCCAGTAAAAGGGTCTCCCGGTTCTCTACACTCACCATACGAAATACAGCAGCATTAAGCTACTATTTCATGCTGGTATTCTGAGAGAGCGTGGTTCTTCCCCGGTCGAGCCGACCCATTCGTGCTACAATTATACTACTAATATAACTGCAGCATGGCTCTACCACTCATAAGGAATATAATGAACATAAAAATTACAATAACATTTTTATATTCATTCATTTATTTTATAGAATAAGGGTGGCAAACGATCACACAGTCCACCTGACGGTAAGAATCAAAACGCAGAAGCGTTGTCACCCCTGACGACTAAGATGGAATGCCTCGTTTCCAGTGATAAGGGGTCTCCGGGTCTCTACACTCATCATGTGAAACACAGCAGCATTACAATGCTATTTTACTCTGGTATTCTATGAGAACTAATTAAATAAATAAATTCATTAAAAACAATCGAAATTCAAACCATACTCATTCTACTTTATGAACGGCAATAAAATAATAAAAGAAGGCATGACCTTGTCACTCCGCAGGGTCACAGGCTCAAGGGCAAAGGGCAAAGTACGTTTTAAGTTTTTTTTGTTATTAAGTTCAAAAAAATTTTTTCAAACGTTTTATCCAAAATTTTTGGTTTTATTTTTCTTAAAATATCAGTGCCATAGGCTTCTACTGCATTCACATGTTACACTCTGTTTTTTTCCAGACGGTGAAAAAGGTCATCCCGATTATTATGATTACATGTAATTAAACTTAAAAAAATTGTCTTGAAATATAAAATACGAAAAAACTTATTGATGTCAAAATTAAGACCCATAATGATTTTTTTATAAGTTTATTAACCAACGAACTTACCAGTGCATTGCACGACACAGTACTTCTTCTCGTTCTGTTTTTTCCTCATTTTGGTGTCGTCATCAGTTTCCTCCTTGACTGGGACGGCGGCAGGATGAGGGGCCGAGGCAGTCGTGGAGGTTGCAGCGGGAGAATTGGCTATTGGCCGGCACTTGATCCGGCAGAAAAACGACCGCCTCGCGCCCGGACACAGACGCGAAGTGCCAGCTATCACGTCCGCCTTCACTGGCAACATCGCTGCACATATAATCGCAAGTGAGCGGACCACACCTTCGTATGCCCTCGATGGCTTCGTTACATTACAATGGCAATGATACGCAGGTAAATATTTAATAAAACCTATAAAGACAGCTAGTTACTTTATGATCGGTACAGTTCAGCGAAAGGAGACAATTTTTTGAGCTCACTACAAAATGGCAACGTTTATTAATGGTATACATACATAACACAGAAAGAGAAAACAATTTACTTCATTAACCGTTACCGTTACCACATATTAAAGTCCACTACGGAACTAAGGTCTCTCCCATAGATTGTCTCATAGGGGGAATATTTGCCACAGTTGCCACGCTTGGTAAGCGGGTTGGCAACCGTGCCATACAACGAGCCATGATGCAGCTTTATAAGTAGTATAGTTGTAGCACGAATGGGTCGGCTCGACCGGGGAAGGACCACGCTCTCACAGAATACCAGCGTAAAATAGTAGCTCAATTCTGCTATGTTCCATATAGTGAGTGTAGGGAGACCGTAGTACCTTTTTAATGGAAACGAGTCATTCACGGGTGACAACGGATCTGCATTTTAGTTCGTAATCGAGGATAGATGTAGTCTATGGGCAACAGCATCCACTTATCACTATGATCTATTTCACCTTGTAGTGGCGATGTAAGAATTTCCACTACGCCATATCGACTCATGGATGTCGTAAAAAGCGACAGAGAGAAACATCAGGAGATGGGCAGCAGTATCTTCCTAATTACCACCTAAAACATAAAACTGTAGTTGCCGACCTAGCTGCCACGCGTGGCAACTTCGTCATACCTATGTCCCTGCTGTAAGGCAAGCTATGGGGAGGTCTGTGTCCAGCAGTTATCTTTTAAAATGCTACAAGTCTAACCAAAATCAAGATATTCCCTTTTCGGTTAATGAAAAGAAGCGTCTTAGGTAGCGTTTTGGCTGTTTGTTTAACAAAATAGTGTTTTACTACAGTGCAGTTAGTATTTTAGTACAGTACAATAGGTAAACAGAGATACCATTGAAAACATGACTAATCTTAAAAAGGCAAACATCAGTCAAATTAGTTCAAAAACGTTTACATTTACAAAAAGAACACATTAATTTGCAAGCAGAAACTAAAGTAAGGAGAGCTAGTGATAAAAAATTACATCTGTTTTATAGAGTATGTCTACTGAGAATTTTCTTCCCCAGTGGCCTTACCAGTTATGTCTACTCCGAGAAAATTTCTCAGTAGTCTTACCAGTAAAACTACTGAGAAGAAAATTGTAGTAAGACTAAAACTAGTAAAACTACTGGAAATATTCCGATTTATCTAATTTTATAAAAGTGTTAGCACTTTAAAAGATATAATCGTGAAACAAAGCGTACTAAATCCGCCATTTTATGAAACAAAAGTGGCGAAAACGATGTAATAAAAATAATGTTATCAAAAAGAACATAAATAAAATAAAATAGAACATGCAAACCACGGAATAATACCACTCCATAAACTGCTGCCATCTCGTACTAACTTTTGGCATCGATAAGGCGCTCCCGAGGACTGAGATCTGATGAGGAGAGCTGTTCCTTCACCTTCGCAACATCTTTCGGGTGCAAAATGTCGAATAAACTCTGCCCCAGTAATTCCGACTGAAACATTTAAATCACAATTTTAGATTAAGATTATTAGTTAATAAGACAGATTATGCATGATCGTAGCGTAGCCCATTTCTTCTCTTGCGTGTGGTAGGAGACGACCGTGAGAGAGGAAGGAAAATTAAAAACAAACTGTATAGTGCTCGTGTTATCTGGTGCGGTGTAAAGTAGTTTTAAGAGTAATATCTGGGCCTTTGGTTAATATTAGCTATAGCAGTCAGAAAGACAACACCTTGGATCAGTTTCTATTTGGTAGAGCTTCTATTCTGTCAGAGTTAGTCTAGTCTAGTTCGTAAAACCATTAAGATCTAAATGCTCGCTGTAGATTTAACAGTACGTCAGCAAACCGAGTTCAATTCCCGGCGCACCAATGAAATTATTAATTGTCACTTTAAGCGCTGGTTTATTGTGCGCTCTGTGACGAAGAAAAACATCGCGAGAAAACGTGGATGTATAAAGAAATAAAATACTTTGAACACACGCGAAGTCCGCCACCGTGCACTGTTGCAGCGTAGCGGATTAATTGCTCCTTGACACTCTCAGAAATGAGATAAGACTTGTGCTCGACAGTGGCTGTATTTTTTATTTCTGCCGTCTTTATTATTTCTTCCACCTAGCACCAATTTATCTAGTGCTATATTATGAATTGACGGACAAGAGCTAGTTTAATTACAGACATCTAATGACTCCACAGAGGTGGCAGCCGTTCTGCTTTTTTTCTTTATCAAGAGTTCTCCTCGTTCACGAGATCTATTTTCATCTGAGCAATTGTTACGAGCTGCAATGATGATAATGTGACGGTTATAATGGGTAGGTAAATGGACCAATGAGTTCGAAAACCCAGTGATTCGATTTTAGCACAATGAAAATTGTTTTTTTTTTTTAAATAAAATGGGGTGACAAAGAAGCTCACAGTCCACTTGATAGTAAGTGGATTCTCGATTAAGATTCAAAATGCAAATGCGTTGTCACCCGTGTGGACTAAGATGAAATGCCTCGTTTCCAGTAAAGAAAGTCTCCGGTTCTCTCCACTCACCATACGAAACACAACAGCATGGCGCTGCTATTTTACTTTGATATTGTGTGAGAGCGTGGTCCTACCCCGGTCGGGCGACCCATTCGTGCTACAACTGTAATTAGTTGCGATGTGGCTCTACCATATAAACAGTTGTTTTATTCTGGATAACGATGCGGTAACGTTATATGTAATAATACAAAACCGTTGTCTTCCTCATCGGTTTTCGGTTATAGCTTTATTTTCTTTTTTAAAGTACAAAAAAACACTTAAACAAAGTGGCCAGATCCGTAAAAGATAGTTCAAATACACAAGAACTTTAGTAACTGTAGCAATGTGCACTGCATGCATAAAAAGGAGGGTGGAGGTGCATATTCATAAAATATATTTAATGTTGATCTATGCAATAAATTGAATCTAGATTTATAACAATATAAATAAATATGAAAAAATGTATTTGTATTAATGAGACAATATTTATCATAAATAATTAGGTACTTAGTTAAAAAGTTTATGCAAATAGTTTTTTTATTTGCATTGTTTAATTAACCACACCAGTCTTATTCAGTTTTCCTTAATAAATTTGCCGACTAACTTTTGTTTTTATTTTGTCCCATGTTAACAATGTTATGTATATCTATAATATGTATACATATGAGATCATGATATTAATTTATAAGACTTGTTATATGTTATTGTGGATGCACCTTATAAATAAATAAGTAATATTTTAAGGAAAAATATTTTATACGCAATTAAGTTTTATTATTTCGTCACGTTCTAGCTTCATGTGTATTGAATGACAAATGTTAAAAGTCGTCAAGATATTTTACGATATGTAAAAGTAAAGAAGAAATAAAACTTACCTGGTCGAAATTCAACGTCCTGCTCACAGATGTCGAAACATATAGTAGACGGCCGCGATCGCATCCCACTACTAACAGAAACGCATCGTGGGCTGCGTGAAGGACAAGGGAATTCAGCTCGCTTTCTGAGAGAAAAGCTGGACGCGGGCGTGCGGTCAGAGGGCTGGCAGAAAGAGCGCCTCTGACGGACCTCAGATGCTGCACCGCCATCCTCAACACCGTCAACTTGTCCAGCTTGCGGGCCATTGCGCCGCACATGGGTATCATCGCGCTCAGCTCTGATATGTAGGTGTTCATCTTGTCGCGACGACGCTTCTCAATCTCACTGTGATTCTGTCTGTCAAGTAGCATTGAGGTATTTCTAACTGATCTATAAATTGAGTTTTCTTTATACTTGGTAGTTTTGCAAATTTTTCTTTTTTTATACATATTTCGTTTATTTCGGGTCATAGATGTAGTTTGGATCATGGAACATTTTTTTCGTTCTGTGAAATTCAGGTTGCACTCAGGGATGTTCTTTGTGCCTATGGCAGGTCTTTTTCCAGCAGTGGAATATATGAACATGAATATAATAAGTACCTACATTTACAAATTGTGTCATATATTGGACAATCGGAGAAATCCCTTAAATATAAAGTAAGTCTTACAAAGTACAAAGAAATCTGCACAAATTTAATTAAAATAATAATAACTATGGAGGGAAGCCTAACCTAATTTAAATATATGTTTTAAGTATTACGGTACACATCATGAATTTTATACTATATGTTTATTATGCAATATTACTTAACTAATATTGCACAAACAACTTTATTACTTTAATATGTTTAAATACACGGATAATCCGCAACTCAAATGATTTGTAGTGTCATCCAGACCTAGAGAGAACTAGATCCATACATTTTAAGTCGGGAAAATCACAAAAATTTGCGACCAAGTCTGATGAGAACGATTCAAGACTTAAAGATATATAGTTTCATATTTTTTGACGCCAGTAAGCTCGAGCCAGTTTAAAAGTCAGTTACTGACTGGGGTTAGCGTTTAATCACCGTATTCAGCTAACTCAGCGTCAAGACAATGTCAGCGAGGTTGTTGTGGGAGGATGCGATTTACAAAAGAGTTTCTTCGATTATTCAATGTTAGAATTGATAAGAAAAACACAAAATATAGCAAGCAGTTAGACATGTGTCAATTATGAATGATTCGCCCGTTTGAGCTGGTACACTTAAAAGTATTGATGGTTCATTCATCTGTTTTTGAATTTTCCGGTACAACCAATCACAAACAATTGACGGAACCCTTTTAACTCGCGATTGGTGTGAATTGTGAATGAGTCGAAAACCGACCGAATCCCGAATGATCTGAATGAATTGTTTTTGGTGTAGGGTACTGGAGCCCGAAATGATAAATTTGATTGATCGATTCGAATGTACTGGTACGCGTGACGAAATGTACTAGAATGATTCGGTCACGAGAAATGAATGATCGACACTTGTCTAATAGCAGTAGGTGCTGAGCCTATATATATATATATATATATATATGTGTATCAAATATATTTTAATCAGACCAAATGTAAAGAAGACAATCACTTACTTTTTATCAGGAAGTGTGCGTGTGGAGCGCGCTTCGTCAGTGCCATCGTCATCATACGTACTGCCCGTGCCGCTGTTAAATAGACATTTAACAAGCGTTTCAGAATTTTCATTTAAGAGGATACCTTGAAAATGAATCGAATTTTTGGGGACGTGGCTTATCCCTTTGTCGGTGAAGCTCACGGACGACTGCCGGAGTGTCAAAATGAAAGTGATGCAATGACTTCCTAGTACGCAAATTATGAGATAGCCATACCGAACAAGCGCTCGGAAAAAAACTAAGAAAGCACCAAACAAAATTTTTATTTATTTTAACAAAACTTCGTTATGGATTAAAAAACTGGTTTATGAGAACTTAGATAGGATTATTTACTATGCCTTAAAATTAATTCCACGAAATTATTCGTAAGAATATTGTGGTGTCATGGAGAAATGTAAATAATTAGAGCCTACTTTGCAATTTTTTTCTATCGAGAAAATTTCATGATATCGTGTTTTCCTTTTATGCAATCCAAGGTCATATAGTTATAAATCATATAACTAAACTTTGTTTTCTAATCTAAAAAACTTTAAAAAATATGTTAAATATAAAAACCACCAAATATTCGAGGTATTTTATCACCCTAAAATGTTAGTGACAATTCTTACTTAAAACTAGCGATTCGCCCCGGCTTTGCCTGAGTGGAATCTACTTATGTTGCGTTATTTAGATTTGACATAATCATTAGAGGTTTATTTAAGCTACTATTTTACGCTGGTATTCTGTGAGAGCAAGGTCCTTCCCCGGTCGAGCCGACCCATTCTTGCTATAACCACGATAGCTGCAGTGTGGCTCTACCACGTAAAAATGCCATAATCTTAGCGAAATTTGACATTTTCTGTCAGATGTTATTTTTATAGTTTACATTTTTGTTCCTATATTATCATATATAAAAAGTAAAATATACTGCGGGACTTCATTTTCGAAACAGACTAGTTCAAATCTGATTATAGTATTAATACTAATTATATAAATTACTTTTAATAAAGCGGTTTAAGTAATTAGCCGGCGATGGGAAGCAGTGTATTAGAAGTGAGACGGCTTGTACTGTGCCATCTCCAATGTGTCTGCCAAACGTGGAGAATGCTGCTTTTGTTCTCAACTTGACTGCTCTAGCGATGAATTCTCATTCCCTTTACCAGCCAGTAAAGGACCATCTCACATTGAAGTAAATATCGTAATTGTATTTAACAAGCGGATTGACAACCGAAGTACTAATCGTCTAGCTGATTTTACGCTTAGACGCTGACCCGCTTAGACGGTCTGGGTATTTTACGTCTGATGTAAACGAGAGATTCTATTGTTATTTACATGGAAGCAATCCCATAATCGTCTTTTATGATAGTCCTCGGAAGATTTTTTCGCGTGCGTTATTCGCGACACGTTTTGGCTTTTAGATAATAATGTAATCAAGGGAAGTGATGCATCTTTGTTGCTGTTGAGCGAAAATAAAAAATGAAATTGTCGTGTAGTAGCAACATAAGGCTGTACCACATATCATCCCGTGGGTGTCGTCAGAGTCGACAGAGAGAAACTGAAACGAACGAACTCGTCTTTCTGATAATTCTGAAAAATAACGGTTACCAGTAAAATAGCGGTTACCAATAAAATAACGGCTACCATAAAATAACGGTTACCAATAAAATAACGGTTACCAATAAAATAACGGTTACCAATTCGACTAACAAGCATGACAATTATGGCCAATACCTATGAAGCAAACTAAAGGCGAGGCCTTTGTTAAGTTTAAATCTTTAGAAAATTGAAAATATCAAAGCAAGTAAGTTTTCATTTATATCACAATTACTTCATTTATAAAAAAGTCTTTTACAAAAGAAAGTGAAGAAACACACTTTTTTCTTTATAAGGACTAAATAAATATTGCATATTTTTTGCATAATTCATAATTTATTGATTCTTGTTTTTCAAGGTATGACATGGTTTCGTAGCGGTAGGCTGAACCTCGCTTCACCGGATTAAGCATTTCCAAACTCGTACATGTTATTGAAGTAAAATTCCTAAGGGATTATACTGGTGTGAAACTTTAATAAGTAATTAGAAGTCTTCGACGCATGTACGCCGAATTATTGAGAATCTTCAAAATTTAACCTTCACCCAGAGATAAGGCGGAAAGCTAACATTGCTTTGGAATAATCGTGATTATAAAATTAAATCTATAAAATGTAAAAATTTGAAACTAAAATTATATTCATTTCTTTAAAGAAATTTTTAAATATTATATTCGTTCACAGTTGAACGTAGGCCTCCCTCATAGATTATCTTATAGAGATCCTTATAGAGATCCTTATAGAGATCCTTATAGAGAACCTTATAGAGATCCTTATAGAGATCCTTATAGAGATCCTTATAGAGATCCTTATAGAGATCCTTATAGAGATCCTTATAGAGATACTTATAGAGATCCTTATAGAGATTCTTATAGAGATACTTATAGATGGTATATTTGCCAAAGTTACCACCACGTTTGGAGGGCGGGTTGGATAGCAATTTAATATTTTGAGTTGTTATCAGGAAGAGGGGTGCTGTCCATTTCCTGTTCCCTTTTTTCTGTCGGATCTTTCCAAAACTACGGGATGGTATGGGATAGTGAATTCGCTGACGACGTTGTTACAGTAAGTTTAACGGGATATCATTTAAAAAAATATCCTGTTATTAATCTGAAATAAAAACAACCTTAACCATTTTTTCCTGGGTTAACGCTATACATTGTTTTCTTTTTTTTAATTATTTTTATTATAAAAACTGTAAGAATTACATTAAAATAACCTATTGATAAGGTTAGCAATAGTTGAAATTAAGCATATCATAACTTAGTCTACCCTCATGTAGATAATTCGTAGTTTTCAGTCAGTCAGTCGCGTCAAGTCCACGTATTTGTTTGTTATATCTCTTACATCTATGACGAAAATATATTCAATGCAGAAGACAAATTTTGAATTCATCCAATTTTAAAAATATGAAACTAGAAGGAACATATTATACCCTATTTTAAAAGTTGAAAATGCACTATAAAATATGTTTCAACTACTTCCGCATGAACGAGAAGACATTTCATAATTTCCAAAGTAAATTCCGAGTCTCAATCTCAATCTCAAGGAGTCTCTTCTACAACAGTTTTTAAGACCTAACAGTTGTAAAACACCTTTGATGTCCGGCGATGCCGCCGCCGTCCGCGTAGATATTTTTACGCGGCCAGTGTATACCAGGGCGAAAATTTAAATAAAATGATGATGGATATAATACTAATCATCATTTATTAACATTATGTACATACTTAATAAAAATTGATGTTGTAAAAAACTTTTTTTACAACATCAATTTTTATTACTACAAAAAAAACATTTCAAGTGTTGCACTGCCAAATATAATATTTTCGTGACACTTTCATTTTATAGATGTTTTCAGTTTTCTACTGTTAAATTTAATTATGTAATGTATTCGCATTCGGATAAACAATTTTATCAACGAAAAATGAGGGAAACAAAGATGGCCGTCATTTCAACTTTACTTAGTAACTGATATAACTATAACAGTAATTCACCATTCTAGATATGATATTTATCGAAAAAGGGCACTTAAAGTAAGTTAAATAAGTACTATAAAACACGCTCGCGCCAATGGTATGTATTGTCTATCAGGCTCAGTAAAGTGCGATAGCCGAAGGTGGGCCCGTCTCCTGCCCACCCTGTTGTACCCGTGTAATACCTCCAACGTTGCTCTGCACAAGTACATTCGTTTCCCAACTGTAACGTTTTTAAATAGTGCTTCTACCTCATACATGCATACGAGTAAGTGGAAACTCACACCTACATATGTTTGCTTCCCTGGTAGCCGGGGCGGTGCCGGCGCGTGGAAAAGCGCCCAAAAAGTGATAACATAAATGTCAGTCTTTAGGCGTTATTAACTCAAAAACTATAAATGGTTTATAAGTGAATTATAGTTGTAGTTTTCCAGGCATTCAAGAGGGCTATCTGGGACATGTAAAATTACAAGTAAATAGCTTTTGAGTTATGGGAGGTCGAATGTAGCTTGAATTGGTTCGTGTAAATATACACAAGCGTCGTCCTTAACTTTTTCTTTGCCGACAGTCTACCGCGTCTAGGCAATTATTTGAATAATTACTTTGTTAAAAACTTTTTAAGATCAACGTGTACGTACAGAAAGATTTGGAATGTCATCTAAAGATAGTATTTTCTTCTTATTTTTCTTTACGGCGTCACTCAGTAGAGATAGGATTTACTATGATGACTACGCTTGACAGCAAATTGGAACTCCCAGTAACAGATGTATTTGCAATTTTCACGCTGCTCCCCGTCACCGGCCTGGGTAACTTACACATGTCAAACGTATTTGACAGATGTAAGTTACCCAGTTTCATAAAACGGTATACCACCATCAATTAGAGGCCTCGATGTCTTTCTGGAAGATATCCATGTAAGACTGACCGCCATCTCGTTGACCATGTTACGTTCAAGTTAACAGTAGCCATATTTTCTTTGTGTTATCAATTATGGAGTACATAGAGTACTTTAAAATAGTCTTGTGCTTATGATAAAATCAAAAGAAGTAAATTTTCAAACAAGTTAAATGTTATATTACTTACTACTGACTAAACTACATGACAACTAAAATAGGAATCTGAAAATAGGACATAAATTTCTTCAGTTGTAGGCAGAATTTTCAGTAATCACCACGTATATGAATAGGTGACCGTATTATACGAGTCCTCGCACGTTTGACCGTTCCCAATCACTGGTCCAAGCATTATACGTTTAGTTATTAGCCATTTAACTTTGGTATTTTCCATTGCCTCTTTTTGCGACATCCATGGGACAAAATAGGCTGGTAGATATTCCGAGGTTATGTTAACCTGTAATGGTAGAGTTAGAGTGAGTCCACACGGCGCGTTGCGTCAGCGTTGCGTTGACGTAGCGCTGTAACTGCGCGGTTTTACGTACTAATAACCACAGAAATCACAGACACCTATTATTTAAATTATAGGTGTCTGTGAT